ATGCATTGGGATGCTAAAGCAAAATATAAGCTGAGAAGTTTATGCTAAATAGGAGGAAAGACTCTTAATTTGATTGAGAATCTGTTACTGTCGCCTGACTCACGAACACCTTCTATGAGGAAAAAAGAATCCACTTTATGTAAAATGCAACGCAGTTCTGATGATTCTTCATATTTTACTGGAATGCCATTGTTTTAAATACTTTCGTTTAAAACATTTTAATTGTTTCAAAACTTAACAGGAAGACATCATCATAAATTGTTCCAGTTCTTAAGATATTAGCTTACACCATAAAATGTAACCAGTTTTTATTCTCATCTTTATATAACTTAACTGTATTGACACTGGTTACACACAGTATTTTAATATACTTTTTAATTTACGTTTCACTGGTTTGACGTAGATAACCTTTTAAGGTTTTGCTCTAAATACTGCAAAGCAAACAAAAGTTGTATGCCAACATGCGTTAACTTGATGCTTCTCCCATATCTGTGGCGGCAGCACAGATGATAAAATACTTGAGACAGCAGAATTCTGGTTTCGACCCAGATTCGAACGGAGATTTACAGGCTGGCTGTATGGTTGTTTTTCGCATTTTCTGCATGTATAACGTTGATGTGAACCAGTGATCCCTCAGGCAGATGACCCTTGTGTGCTTTGCCCTCTTCAAATAAACCAATTTGCAGTAATAGAGCATTCTTCTGTATCAGTTCATTTAAAGTAGTAAAATTTTTCTAAGCATTAGAAATGCATCTTAGGTTAATTATTTCAACAAATAAGTAAAAAAAATATAACACTTTAAAAACTTTTTGTCAAAAGGTAACTAAAAGTACGAATATGTATGTGCATAGACTCGTAATGGATTGAATGCACGCGAGACCGATGACAGCTTGATAAAAAAAATTTTTTCCAAAAGAAACTTTTTGCAACTCGAACTTTTCACAGAAAAGTGTCTTATGGCTCTTCTCAATATAACAGATCAATATTAGTAGTTACTACTTCAAACTACTAAGAACGTTGAATACAAAACAATAAAAAGGCCTCAAATGCGTAATCTCGCACAGTGATCGGTCAATACTCTTAAGACTTTGACCTTAACTCTGGACTAAACTAAAACTGATGCGCTTGCCAGTCGTGTATAGATTTTCCTCGTTCCCTGAAAAATTTCCAGTACCTACTATTTCTCTAATTTGCTTGTAAGCAGACACTTACATAGGCCCGGTAAAAGTTCCAGTTACATAGGAATCGAACCAGTTACAGTATCATAGAACACAAGTGTCGTTAAATGATAAAGTTTTGCTACTTTTGTTGATTTGTCGCCAAATTTAGCGTCAAAAAATTAGACTCCAAAACCATCGTCAAATTTTGTGATATGGCCATTTACCTCGGTGTTAAACGTACATGTTTTTCCGGCAATGCTTGAGGCCTTTCATGTTATGTTATACAAGAGATTACACGATTTACATATAATGTCGCTAAAATATTGTTACAAAATGTACAGGCGCGGTGAGATGGCTTCCACGCAAAGCAGGTTTAGGGTTGCCATAAAATGGCAAGGGAAGGCAGAGTTGCCCCATTTGGCGACAAAATTGGCGATATGCCATGACGGATGGAGAACCTTCTGGAACAAATTCTTACTAGTTTAGCTCAGAATATTCTATTCTCGAACACAAGCCAAAAGCTATATAAACCCTGCTGGTCCGCAGTCAGTGAGTGTGCGCCTCGTCTAGAGGGCGAGTGAGAGCGCCTCGCATAGAGTGCGAGATAGTTAGTATCGAGTGTGTGTGCCTCGTCTAGCGAAGCTGATAGTCAGTTACTGAGCGAGTGTCTCGAAGTCTAGCGCCGAGTTGGTCGTCGAGTGCATCGAAGTGTCTCTTAGTGTATGTCGCGAAAGGGTTCTTTAATCCTAAGGCGAAACTTCTACCGTATCTAAAATCAATCTTCCTAAATGAAGAACATCATATCTATATCTATAATTGATCTATATTCGACAAGGTTAATTTAAATATTTATTTACAATATATACAGTTAATTAGTTACTTAACATGCGGAAAATTCTACTAATCAAAGGATATGGCTTAATGCGCCATTCCCGTCTAACATCCAACTAACTTCTACTTCAGGTGAGGGCGCTGCTATCGCTCTACGACATCATATTTCTCTACACTTCCCGCCTAAACTCGCAGAGTTCACACAATTAAGCAGAATAACAATCAAATCCAAACAAAATGAAAGTACTTACAATTACTTACTGTAACAAATTAAAAAGAAGAAAATCTTCTTGAACATCTATTAAAATATAAAATAAATTAAATTAATCAATTAAACATAAGAAAGAACTAAATAATCAATAAGTTCAAAAAGTTTTCATCAAATGTTGGGAAAAAAGTCAATAGTTCAAACAATAGCTCTCAGGTTGGTTCACAACTTCTAAAGGTATGAGAGTTGTATGGGTCTCTTAATTTGTCCTTTGGACGTCTTAATTAGACAAGAATGAACATGTTGATCTCGTCCTTTGTATAACTGAACTATCACACCAAGTTCCCATAACAGTTTGGACTTTGTAGACCCTTCCAAAGAACATTTCCAACATTTAATTCTTTACTTGGGTTAGGAGTATCCAAATGGTAAGCCGTTCGCAAGACAGGTAAATATTGTTCCTTCCATCTTTCTCAGAGGCGTTCTAAAAGTGTATTTTGGTACACTTGTCTTTTCATCAGATAAATTCTATTTGAATTCTTGTCAATCATCTCGATAAAATGAAGAAGATAATTATAATTTTTTCGACCAAAATTGAGAAAGTGCTGCTGTGAGAGGCTCTGCTTCTTTCAAGTCATTATAACTATATGTTAAAGGTCTTTGATTTATGACAAATTCAACTTCTGTCAAAATAGTATTTAACTCTTCAAAATTTAATAGGGCTTTTCCAAGTATTTTTCTTAAACAGTCCTTCACAGACTTCACTAAACGTTCGTATAAACCTCCCCACCATGCAGCACGTTCTGCAATAAATTTCTAGCTTATTTTCTTACAGGCAATAAAATCTTGAAATTTGGAATCCTTCAGTATTTTTGAAAAATGCTCGAATTGTCGGTTTGCCTTTTGAAAGGTTTTGGCATTATCCAAGTAAATTGTGTCGCAATGTCCTCGTCTTGATACGAATCGTCTAAAAGCCATCAAAAAATTTTCTGTGGACATACTGGAGACTAGCTCTAAATAAAGGGTTCTGGTAACGGCACAGTTGAAAAGAACTATGTACAATTTCTCAGTTCCGGTTGCTGATCTAACCCAAACTGGACCGGCAAAGTCCATTCCTGAAACAAGAAATTGTGGAGTCTGAACTATTCTGTCTTTTGGCAGCTGTGCGGTCATCTGTTGAGCAGGTTTTGCTGTATACTTTCTACAAATAAGACAGTTTCTAAGTATCTTCTTCACAAGCTGTCGGCCTTTCGGTATCCAGTATTCTTTTCTAAGGCTGGTCGAAGTGGCTATAACTCCACTATGCATTAACTTGTTATGTTCTCTTTCAATAATCAGTTGCGTAAATTTTGAATTTCGAGGTAAGAGGATAGGATGTTTTTCTTCGGTGCTGAAATCGGAGAATTGTAATCTTCCTCCAAGCCGTAAGATTCCTTTATCGTCTAAAAAACGGGGAAAAGGAATGTATGGAGGACTTCTTAGATATGCTTTTATTAGTTTCCAATGCTGAAATTTCCGAATTATATGCTAGTCTTTGAATTCTACGGATCCAGAATTCTTCTGCGTCTTGAAACTCTTCAGCGGTAGGAACATCTGTTAAGTTTGCAAGCTTCTTAGTTTTCAAAGCGAAGCGTTTAATCCAAGCTGTTATTCTTAATATTTTCATTAATACTTGGAAATATAAAATAATTCATTCTTCTCTTGCACGATACATTTATATTGTTCGGAACAAGCAAACTTATTTCTATATTCTAAATTTTCTTCTTCAACAACGTCTACATTACCGGAGGGCCAAAATTCTGAAGACTGTAAAAGCCAGAGTGGTCCATGCCATCAAAGTTGGCAATTTCTTAAGTTAGCAACAGTAGTTCCTCGGGATATGAGGTCGGAGGGGCAATTTCCACGGCAATAATGCCAATTATTGCTTTCAGTTAGTTTCTGAATTTCATAAACTCTGTTTTTGATGAAAGGTTTAAATCTTTCGGGAGATCCATGAATCCAAAAAGTTATTTGAGAATCAGTCCAGTGGAAATGGATTACTTTGTATTTTAAACATTTTACGATTTTATCACTCAATCTAGCGGTTACAAGCGCACCCAAAAGCTCCGATCTAGGAAGTGTAAGTGATTTCAGAGGTTCAACTCTACTCTTGGAAGCAACAAAAACTGTTTGAAAAGTTCCATTGTTCAAAACTATTCTTAGATATACCACGCATCCATAAGCTTTCAAACTAGCGTCAGAAAAGCTATGGAGTTCTATTTGTTTCTATAAATTTCGTAGTTATACGTATAATTAAGTACAACTGATAGTACACTGTTCTGAATTAGAACAATGTTTAATGGTGGTCAGTAGGTGATGTCGACACAAAATAGTTTTGCGCATATTGTCCTGCAACATACGATTCATCGTCTGTTTTAAGTTTCGGAAATTCACATTTCTCGACATTTTATTAATTTTAGCTGTAAAAGAGTGAAAAGGATCAAAGCAAATAATTTTAAAACTTAAATGCTTTGGTCATTGTGCGTGAAATATCGAGACTTGAAGTTAATTTGCCTGTTTTGTTAAAAGTGATAATAAGAAGTTAACTTTGAAAACTTTTGTGAATGTTGATGCTGAAAACTTGTCCCGATCTACAAACTAGCGTAATTTTGGTTATTCTGCATGAAATGTTTATCATATTTTGTAGCATATTCGTTAGAATGCCATTGAGGTTACGGTATAAAAAGGGTCCCAAGATATTACAGCGACATTATCTAGAGTGCTAAACAATAGCATATTCTTAAAACTATATTACCTTACAGGAAATCTGAGGAAAATGGAGGAATAGCATGCCGTCTGAATCTTGATCCTCCAGAAGAGACTGACCGCAAGGAAAAGCTTTTTGAAGTAATGGAACTGTTTATGAGGTTTTACCCCCTGATTGAGCGACCAAGAGATCATAAGCGTCCTCCTCCATCTCAGCCCTCTACGGAAAGGCCATTGAGTTGATTCGGAAATTAACTAGCTGATGCTGTAATTGAGAGCTGAGCTACTAATTTAATGGAAGTTTTGGATAATTCAAAATTCTTTTTTCATCCTTTTTACGTTACCAATATATTAATATGTTGCATTTTTTAACTGTATTTTGGCTGAATTTCTTGTTGATGTTTTGATTACCTACCTTATATTTAATAAAATACTGAGATTCAGTTAACATGCATTCATTAGCTTCCTTAGAACATCTAGTCTCATTGCCAAAGCACGTGCATATAGCTGTTTGTTCTTTTCTCAAATCTATCTTCCGAAAGTCTTCATTTATTACCAAACAAACAGTTTGGTAACAAATGGAGTTGTTTTACTAAGTAACATGTACCAAGTTCATTCGTTAATATTTCCCGGATATTTTTAATCTGTTCACAGTTTTCTGAAAGTAAATCTTTAGATTTGGATACTACAATAAAATTTAACATATATTAACCCTTTCACACCTATCGTTGGTTATATCCAGGATCCATTCCCTGCTAGCGTCGATGATATCCGGAATCTACAATACTTGCTTCACAGCGTCACTTAGTCCAATACAGTAACTATAGTTGGCATTAATTGCTCATATATGTAAATACTTATAACAAATGGGCACCTCGCAGTTAACTAATTCACAAGTATTTTCTTGACGCGAGTAAATTGTATTTTTATCTTTGCAATGTATCGTAAATAAAGGTAAAGCAACTGAACAGCGCTGGTATGTCTCAAATGCTGTATTTATTCAAATAAGATCCCTTTTTGCTCTGAAATTTCGTAAATCCTTATTAGCTATTTAAATTGGAAACGATCTGAAGATTGTGCTTTATACTGCTGTTATTTCGTCGTCCGCTATCTTTACGGTGATAGGAATTAGCTTCTCAAATGTGATTAAGAGTTAAGATTTTTCCTGCGTTCCATCTTTCGAAAAAAATAAAAAAATTCCTTCCAAAACCCGAAATTTCATTTTTAGTTCTTTACATTTTGACGATGGTAGGGGATTGCCACCGGCCGCAGTACATTATCCAAGTATCGTTGGGCCGTCATAGTGCCCTAAATACGAACTAGAGGTGACCTGGAATCAAAGGCAATAGCGCCCCAAACCATTATCCCACGTTGTCGCGCGGTAGGGCGTTCCACAGTTACTGCCGGATTAGATCTGTCTTCACGTCGACGCCACACATGTATGTGGCGACTGTCACTGGATAAACAGAAGCGTGACTCATCTGAGAACACGACGTTTCGCCATTGTGTCAGCCACATCGCTCCAGTCTGGCACCAATCTAAATGTTGGCGTCTATGCTGTGGGTCAGTGGCAGTCTTCTTAACGTACGCCGTGAGTGCAGGCCACGTTCAACCAATCGACGGGAAATGGTTCTGGTCGACACGGGAATATCCAGGGTATCTTGCACATGTTGCAGAATCGCGGTACAAGTGGCTTGCGGGACCGCCACAGCTTGTTGGCGGATGCGTCGATCCACGCATGCTGACGTCACTCTGGCTGCACCTGCATCCCTCCTTCTTCCCACATTTCCTTGCTCCAACCATGTTCGCCATAGCCGATGCACCGTGCTCGCATCCATGTGGGTATCAGCTGCAATTTGACTTAAGGACCAACCCGCGATTTGACTTAAGGACCCACCCTGCTCAGTCCGATCATCATACCCTTCGTAAAATCGTCTATATGCTGGTAGTGCCTTCGTTGATGACGGCCTGGCCATTCTCTCCTATTACACGTATCCTCCGGGACAAAAACAAACTTTCTTCGATAATTCGTCTGGCAGAAATAACGACACGAATATTGCCCAGTCTGCGCGTTCCTTCCCTTATATCTTACTTCACCTGCGTCGGAGAGCTGCACATTTCACCTCATTCGCATAACTCAGTAACGTGCGTCTACTCTAAAATTTGCATAAATTTTTTACCACTTCTTCTTGGTGTTGCATTTTCAATGTCGAGCAGTGTATGTTGCAGTCTTCCCCTTTTTTTTTTTTTTTTTTTGAGTTATTCTTTTGATGTATGAACTAATGTCTTTGTCTTGATGCAATTTTTATAGTTTTGGGCTTAAAACAACAGAATTTCTTCTTTAACATCGGGCATGAAACATTTCTAGTAGTATGGCGAGTTTATTTTCCTCTTCACTTCTTATTTTTAATATCGTGTTCTAAACGCAACCTAAATTATCATAATACCTCATTGAAACTTTCTTCCCATTGTCGTAACCAAGTTTCGATATTTTTTTTTTTTTTTTCAGTATCGATAAGTAAACCCATATGCTTGAAGAATCGCAATATTTATGTATCTCTCGTATATATATATATATAGCTAACTAGAGTTCAAATAGGGTTGTACGATTTTCTACGTTAATGCCTTAACAACAGCCTTTGAACATTGGTTTTGTTAGTTTTTTTAAACCATTGTTTATTATTTTAGTGTCGTTAAGATGTATTTGTCGTTAATTTCTATTTGGCGAATTATCTATCGTTAGAAGAGGCTCCAAATTTAAAATAGAAACCTTGGCTACATTTTAAAAGTACTTGTTTGGAATCGTCTTTCCATGCAAAACTAATTGCTGATGATTTCCTTTTTACCGATCAAATTGCGCAATTTGCAATTAAAAATGCCAATACCATGCGTTTCACAATGTTTATAGAACTGCAGAATAAATTCATTTTTCTACTGAAAACACAGACGTGCTTCGGTTTATGAAATTATTTACATGTGATATCCTAAAAGAAATTTCAGGGCAAAAGAATATGCGTATCATTGAAAATTATGCACTGTTTCCAATTACTTACCAGATTACACAGTGGGTAAAAAAAGTTTCCGTACGAAAGCCGAAGTCAAGAATATGTTAACATAATTTTTATTATTTGCTTCGTACCTGCAGTAGCTACTGAAATATGTATAATTTGGTACTTTAAAATGAGTTTATAATAAATTTCTGTTTTTAAAAAACCCGGCAAGTGTTTTGGTTGAAATCTTTAGTAGATATTGTGAAGTGATACGCAAAAAAATGTTTCTGTACTCAATATGCAATTTAATCCTGACTTTTTATCGAACTAGCAGTAAATTTTCGAAACTGGATCGTATGTAAGTCACGAAGATGATAGTAACAGCTACTTAATTCTAGCTTGTAACCGATTGTCTTAAAGCGGAAGTTACTGCGGCTGTTCGTGAATTAGTATTTCACTTAAAAAACGATAGATTACCTTCGTGAAACCTTTAATAAACCGAAGTCTACAGTGCACTATATTATGAAAGATACTGTGAGCTTCAACATACTGAGAAACTTAGGTTCTATTCTCTGCAAATGCTCTTGCTGCATGGGTATTTTCTTGGTGTAACTAGAAGCTCATTTCCTCTAGAAAACCCTTTACGAAGTCATTTCCTTTCTCGGGCAGACAGCCGTCGTTATGCTTTTGCTGTATTCGACTAAAATACTTTTTTATCTTTATTTTCTTAATATATATATATTTCATTTCCTCTCGTAAAAAAACTCGAAAAGTTAGCAGTTGCGGCCATTATGAAAAGATGAATTTTGTGCTCTTTGTAGAAAAATATTTTGAAAGTAAAGCTTCGATATATATGAAAAGAAGCCCTACCTTGCCCTGAAGTTGCAAATAACAGACGTAGTGAACAGAATTCTTGCTGTTCTTCCAATAGGAGCGCGAAATGTCACACTTCGTGTTGGTAATTATGAAGAAGTAAGTATTAATACGTTCGATAACAATTTAGACTCGTGATGCTCTTCCAGTGCAACAGAGTTGAACGTCACATATATTTGCTTTGATGGTGGTGTGAATTCAACATTCAGCCGGAAAAGTCAGCAATACCCAGCCAAGATTCCAATTCAAGACCTTCCATTTGCCATCTTAACGTGTTCTAATTACACCACCACAAGGCACGCGAGAAAGAAGGCTAAAATTTCTTACAAGATTGCTCCCATAGTTCTCGTACGAGAGCAGTAGTCGATTCCATCACGAAACGCAGCGTAGAAGGCTTGGACGAGTATTTACGCAGCGGACAGTGATGAACATTGTTAAAGGTGGACTACAGAGTTTCTTTGGAAAGTGAAATAGCCAGCAGCATAAATTTACAGGCTGCTAGTGGCTGGATGTGGTGAACAAATTTCCGCTCGAAACTTTACTATGAGAAACAAAAATATAGTTAAATGAATAAATGGTAGCAGTGAGGCATTACACGGCCGTAATACAGCAGGTGTCTAGTTTGATACTGATGCATAGAAACATTAACTTTCGTAATTAATAAAAATCGGGTTGTACTCGAATCGCTTCTCCTCTGCCTTTCCTTGAACTCAAGACCCGTTCGTCAGACCCGACTTCCAAAGGCAGCTGGATTACAGCACCACGCCACTGGTGCCAGTCAATAAAAATCGGGTATGGGTAAAGAAGCTTTACAGAGGACATGCCATGAAGATTTGAAAATGACTAAAATTTATCCTCAATCGGTGCCCAAGAGACTCGCTGAGCAGAAGAAATTACAGTATGTGATAATATGCCATAAAATTTTGCGTCGCGTTGTAAGCTTAAAAAAAAAAGGAAAATCTACGTGGTTGACCATTCTGCAACAAAGAGTAACTGCAACAAGTTCGTCCTGGATGAATTCGTAATAATGCTGAAGAATGGTTTGCTGAAGTCATTGGAAAACTTCCTGGGAAATGAAAACGCTGGGAATCATCTGCTATACTCGTCCAATTATTCCTGCAATTCAAGTGTGCTCTGTCGCTTTACTGACAATTAAAGTTTGCTATGTCACTTAGTCGAAGCATTATTAGATAAAATAATGTTTTACTAAACCCATTGTAGCAGTTTGGAACTAGATTGCAATTAAACGAAAATGTCTGAGTCTTCACTAAGCAAACGATATATCGTTACGATCAATTTTAAAAGTGTTTGACATCCTAAAAGAGTTTACCTAATTCTGCTTCGGGCTAGAATAGAAAATTTCTCTAAACTTGATTACCTAATTAGAGCAATGAGCTCAAAGATATCTAAATTTCCACCGGGATTACCTGGGGAATGGAATTTTACCTCTCCGTACCACCAACTCCTCGAAAAGAATTTTAACTTGATAGGTAACTTCATTTTTTATCTACGCAACATGACGTTTTTTTTATATCGGCCTTAAAAATGTTCTTTGTCTCTAAACTTTTCTGTTGATCCAAGCTTTATAATTTATTGTTTTAATACACTATTATATAATTGCATAAAGCTTTGCTTACAAACAACCGGTATATAAACCAAGCATTATGGAAATGATTTGTATACTTGTTCGCTACAGCTTCATAACCAATAGTTCAGAATTGCTTAAGCTATTTCAAGGGAATGAATTATCTAACTACAGCAAAGCCTGCAAATTATACTATCATAAAGAAGGAATACCTTCATGAATGATTCTCAGTGGAGAAACGCGCTTGTAGGTGAGTTTAATGGGAGGAAAATGTCATGAAACCAATCTTTTATTCATCGCCAATAGAAACTACTACTATTGTTTCTCTAGTCATAGAACATATAATGGCTTACGATATATACAGAAGTGAGATAGATATTCAGGTAACGTGTTTTAGTTTCTAAATTCTCCTTTGATTTTTTTTTTTTTTTTTTTTTTTTTTTTTTTTTTTTTTTTTAGTCCAAAGGGGCTTTGTCCCTGAAAGACTATTGTTTTCGTTTTGCGATTTTGCGTCGGACTCATAAACGTCGGTTCACTTTTCAAACTGTTGCCACAAAATGTTAGAGTCCTGCATTATATTTGAAGAAATTAAATAATGAAAAATCTGCATAAATGATTGTCTATTTCTCGCATTGTGATAAAACAATGGTACATAGAGCCATCGAATTTTGAATGACGAAATCCTACTGCGAATATGGGCATCTGAAATCCCAAATTTTGGAATTTGTTTTATTATAGATTTTATATTTTTGTAAAACTTTAACGAATTTTTGATTTACAAACTCAATGCTTTAAAAGCGAGAAATGGCAACGTTATATAGAAAAAAAATACTTTTTATCTCCAAGCGCGCGAGACTGTGTATATCGGAAATTCTAAAGATATGCTTAATTTAACATTATTTTGCGATATTGCTTATTGAAACTTGAATTTTATGTGGTTTAAGTTGCAAAAGAACATGATATTTAATAAATAAAGGTAACACTCAAAACGTTAAAAAAACGCCCCTTTGGACGTAATTTAAAATCTGAAACATTTCAGTTTTTTTTTTTTTTTTTTTTTTTTTTTAAATACAAGTTAATGGCATAATAATACCAGATGTACAGACTTCAGACCAACTTAATGCATGAGAACATGTTGGTGGCGCTGATCTGTTTGTGAAAGCTGCTACTGATTTGCATCTTGAAAAATATTTCTTAGGCCTTTATATTTCAAAACGAGCTTCAGATTTATATTTAAAAGTCTATAACACAGTTGCTCAACTTTCATAACAATAGGAGCTTTTTGTTCCAATTCAAGAATATTCAAGAGCCTCAATAACCTATATTCCTAACGATATTTCCAACACTGATAGTAGTTCTGACTCTGATTTCAAGTATATTGAAGATAGTTATAGCGAAACTGATGAAAATTTCTCGGATTCCTCTGCAGATAGTGATGAATCTGAAAATTCAGTTTCTATTGAAAATGTTTGACAGTGCAAAATTGATATGCAACCAGAATGCAGAACCAGAATGTAGACATTTGCATCATTTTAAAATCCGCAACAGTTTTTGAATAAAAAGAATCGTTCAGAATAAATAAAGATTTTGAGTTTTTAATATTTAAACGAGGCTATTTTTAAATACAAATAAATAATTCTCGTTTCCATGACTGCATTCGGAGAGTGTATTCGTGAAATACACAGATTTTAATGTTGTAATTAACACTCTTCTTTAAAGATAAAAACTAAGCCTTTTTTGTGGTTTCCAGTGTTTCTTTGTAATTACCGGGCCCACCAGCGGCCGAGCGGTAAAGGCGCTGAACACTGGTAGTTCGGTCCGAGGTTCGAATCCCACGAACGGGCTGGCTGCATGGGCGTTTTCGTGGTTTTCCCCATGTGTAACGTGTATAGAGCCAGTTCCCCCTAGAAATTCCTCCACGAAGGCATCCCTCCCTTTAGGCAGATAGCCCTCGTGTGCTTTGTCATAATTAAATAATCCATCCAATCCCTTATAATTACCAAATGATTTAAAAGAAGTGATTGAAAGTGAACACGTTATGGTGTTTACAATAAAGCATAAAATTTTTCAATGAAGTTAATAGTAGGGCACTAATTTGGAAAATGAGACTAGTCATTTATTTTACTTGACTAGTAACCAATAAACAATACTACGTAAAGAATAAAAGGTGTGACGCGGAGCACTAGAGAACCTGAAATTCAAAATCAAAAATTACAATTCACACCCTCTTGCAACTATTTTCTTACAGTGACAGTTTCTTTCTGCCTAAGAATAAAAAATGACATCGATAAATATAAATACACTATTAATTCTTTAAGACATCGAAATCAGCAAATTTCCGCTTAGGCGACTACCAAAATTTTCTAATTTTGCTATGAAACTTAAATATTTTATGCACTAAACAAAACGAACTTACATTTCCAACGTTCACTGTAACAGGAAAATTACTTTTACGGAAAGAAAGTAATAAGTTCTGCATGATTAATTTTATCTTTCATTATCTCTAGCTAGGGTAGAGTAATTTATAGTATACGCTTGCTATCAGTAGCTATGGTACATAAATGACATACAGGTATCTGTGTGATAAATTAGTGTTCGAAAGCCACGAAAGAAGTTGACAAATATTGACTAAGTGCACCTAGGCAAATGTTTTTGTGATAAATGCGCCCAGTAACAAAGATCAGGAGCGCTTATCTCGAAATTGATAAATCGGTGTACAAAGAGTGCTCTGGACGTTTTATTTTTAAAGTTTAAATGCTTAACCCTACATTAAGACACCTAAGTAAATAGTATACCAGTTGTATTAATAAACACAGTCAAGACCCCCACCTGACCAAGGAGTTCACTGAGAAACTCCAAATTTCTCAAGTCTGTCATGAGAAAAAAGTATTTTCTTGACTCTAATGTCGAAATGGCTTTGCCACCTTATACTTGGATTTACGTGCTTTTAATATATACTCTTAATTTCTTGGACTTATTTCAAGATACATGTATACATATTTTCTTAAAGATGTTATAAGATAAATTTTAAGCCGCCTTGCCGGTCAGAGGGTTAAAAGTTACTGAAGATGCTTATAGCGGTTTGTCGCTAATGGGCAGAAAAGTGTGGTAGAGTAATTGATTGGTCTTCAGAATTTCAAACTGTTCTACAGAAAGGCAGTAATTAAGTTAAATAAAACAGAAATAAAAAGAGCAGACTGCATGTTTTTACCCATGTGTAACGTGTTAATACTAGCCAGTTCCCTTAGAAAGTCCTCCACGAAAGCATCCCTCCTTTTCGTGTACTGCCTTAGGGCGGAACACGTAAATAATACTAATAACGCTCCCTTTTTTTTCCTATCCTTCCGTATACAGTATTTCAGAACATGTATATATAGAGTATACTGTATCTATCAGTTTGAGTTGGCAACGATATCGAGTGCTTTTGCACATGTATGCCATATTTGTATCTGAGAAGAGGTACGTTTGGTTTAGTTTGATAATTTGGCTGTATTACAAACAAAATTAAACAGGCTGTATCACAGACTCTCAGTGATAATTGCGGCTGAGGCGGAATAGTAGACATGGGCAGAAATGTGGGCCAGATATGTAGTGAATAAAATTTGCTTTCTATATAACTGCACAATGCAGTCACAAATAACTGTTACAACCCTGATAATAATACCAAATTCTCTCATTTCATGCTTTGAGGATTTGACTTCGCCATTCCGCTTCTCAGGTTTGACAACTCTAGATTGCTTCTTCTGAGATTATTTGAAGGAAAGATTATTTGCATATCATTTTCGGATTATTAAAGAACTGAAGACGACCATCGCCGTGAAGTACATTCTATTCCATGGGACATATTGAGACGCGTCATCATGGAAGCCTCCTCCATTGTGTGGAACAATACATCCAATGAAAAGAAGGGCATTTAGAGTATATTTATCTTCAAAGTTTATACCATAAGTACTGCAGTACATACTGCAGTTCGTACTATAAGTACTGCAGTACATTCATATGTGTGTACTGTTATTTCATATTCAAGTAGAGCTACTACAAGCATTCACTATCTTTCAGTTGTTATTTAAATTTGATAGAATGAATTTTAAAATCACAGATTTGATGTAAAATTTCCAGGATAATTTTAAACTTTTCAAAATATTGCAAGCAAGCTTAGTTTTTATTAAAACTGAATAAAAGCACCTAATCATTTTACTGCTGCAAGGAAAATAACTATCTTTTTGTTATATTCTTCATTATAAGACCATTCACATAAATTCCGCCGCAACTTGTGCAGGTAAAGAAATTTATAAAAAGAAACAACAGACACTTGTATATTTTTATCTGTTAAATTTAATTGAATTTAATTCTGTTAAATGTTGAATTTCAAAACTGGAACAGTTTTAATAAAGTCTATAGTTTTGGTCTCTTTTGATGTTTTATTGCTTGGTTTTAGAAAAAAGAGATTTGTAATATACAATTTTAAAATACAATAGTCCTTTACATTGTTAGAAAAATACAAAATTTTTTTTAATCTACAGATATTTAATTAGCTGTAATATGCGTACAAGGCGACAAATTAAGGAAGTAAACGTATAAGTGAATATTTTGTTCAACTTCTGACTCCCGAACTAAGTTATAATTAAAACTGCTTAAGCTCAGATTGTAATAGAGATTGTTTTAAAAAAAAAATAGATTCCCAAACAAAAAATAATATAAGGCTCTAATTTAAATCAAAAAGGCAAAACTGATGTTTCGACGGAAATTTTCACTTCAAAGATGTATTGGTGCTATAAATAAAAAATAGAAAATATCTTCAATTTTAGAAAAGTATTACACATTCTTTACTCTAATATATAACAGAATGAAATTCATTAACCGATTCTGTAACAGAATGAAATACCTAAAACTATTTAGTGTTAATTTAAAAAAAAAAAATTATACAGGTAAATCTTGAAAGTCGTGAAGCGCAAAATAATAATAATTGCTCAAATGTATTATTTATAATATTAATATATGATAGAATGTAACTTTATTTAAAAGAGATTTTCAATGCAAAATGCATATCAAATGAAAAGATCAATTGCGATTTGAAAACCGTGCATATTTCTTACCTAAATGCATGCAAAGTCATTTAGACCCAAAACAATGACGCAGGTTAATCATAACTGCGAAATGTAACAAAATTATATGTCCTCATATGAGCGATTCATAATAATAATGGCCCACCAACGGCCGAGCGGTAAAGTCACTGAACGCTGGTAGTTCGGTCCGGTGTTCGAGTCCCGCGAACGGACTGGCTGCATGGGCGTTTCCGTATTTTTCCCCATGTGTAACGTGTATACGAGCCAGTTTCCCTTAGAAAGTCCTCCACGAAGGCATCCCTCCCCTTAGGCAGATAACCCTCGTGTGTTTTGCCATAATTAAATACACCATAATAATAATGTAGAAATACAGGCTCAAATATAAATTCCGTACGCAAATAATGAAAATCTTAAATATCATATCAAAGAAGTGCTTGTTTGGTTGGTTATCTGCCCAGAGGACAAATGCCTTGGGAGAAACCTGATCCAGAATGAAACTAGCACATGTGAAAAATCTATAAAAAACTTCTATATGAATTTGTAGTGCTGGAATTATGTAATAATTCCAAAATATATATTTTATTCTATTTGTTGTGTAATCATTACTATTATTGTTTGAACTTTATTTATATTTGCCGAATAAACACGAGTTATTTACCCGTGTAATATTTCTTCAGAGAAACTTGGGCTGCCAGTTTCCCCTTATCTGTTTTAGATATAGTTTTGGCAACAGAAGAAAATTTGCCGTTTTGAAATATTTTAATGGTGGTGTTGCGAAGAGTCATAAGTCCCCCCGGAAACAATGGACATGAAAAATATTTTATGTCCTCTCTGGCATTTAAAACTCCAGACCTCTCCATTGTTAGCAGAATGTGCTTCAACTTACCGTGTGCCACGAAGGCACACGGTAAGGTGTGAGAAAATACCGTACATATACCCACTCAAGAATCTCTAAGGATCCTTAGATATTCTTTGTACCCACTCTCTTATAAAGCAACTGGAGAGGAAGAGATTCGGTCGCCAAATTTTGGTGATGACCATGGAGGTAGGAAAGGGAGGAGGAGCCATTCCGCGCTAGAAGTGAAGCACTGCTTTGAAGCTTGGGTCACCAGACGGGGTGTTCTTTGTTTACATTCAGAAGCTCGCTTGACAAGATTCTGATAGGATTTCGACACACGACAGTTCTATAGAAATCGAAAAAGGGACACTCTCGCATGAAAGACATTCATAGTGTAATGGATAATAGCAATTTGTATAGTTTACTGACATTTACGCAAAAATCACATCTTGGTTATTTTTCGATAACTAACAACAGAGATTTTGATTATGAATTTGTTTTATAAAATTCTAAGCTGTTGCACTACAAAAATATAGATTTTAAGAAAATTGCTAAAAGAGATCTCCCAAAATTTATTTTCTAGAAGATTTGAAAAGTTTGAAACTTGACGGTTAAATGTAAATATAAAATTATGTATGTTAAAATATATGTAATTAGGCACATAGGTCAGATTAAGTTTTTATTAAATAGAGTAACGCATGCAAGGGCTATCTGCCTAAAGAGAGAGATGCCATCGTGGAGGAATTTTGAAGAAAAACTGACCTTTGAGTGGGTATTAAAAATAATACTTATAATTTTCATTCAAATTATATTCATATATTTTTTTTATGTATTCATTAAATTATTTATAAATGTATTTGAAATGAAGAATTTATTCACTTATAAACAACTGTGAAAGTACTGTGAAGAAATCTAATGATTAAATGTATCTAATTTATAATGATTATAAATGTCATCTAAATATATAATAACCTTAATATTGAATTGTAAACATAAATTGAAATCCTGTTGACAAATACGTTATATAAACTATTTAAGCAAGAATTGTTCGTATTGGAAAGCAATCTGTTAAAAGGTATTGTAAAGCAAATGCTATGAGATGCGCACTTAAGAACGTAATAAAGAGTTTTGGAATATGTATTGTTGAAATGAAGGGTAAAAAAAAATCTGATAAGTATAATTAAAAGAATTATTCCCTTTACATTTTATAATAACTCAGTTACAAGTTTAAATAAAGAAAAAAAAAAAAAAAAAAAGAAAAAAAAAAAAAAAAAAAAAAAAAAAAAAAACTAAAAAAAAAAAAAAAAAAAAAAAAAAAAAAAAAAAAAAAAAACAAAAATAAAAAAAAAAAAAAAAAAAAAAAAAAAAAAAAAAAAAAAAAAAAAAAAAAAAAAAAAAATTAAAAAAAAAAAAAAAAAAAAAAAAAAAAAAAAAAAAAACTTATTTTAAAAAAAAAAAAAAAAAAAAAAAAAAAAATGCATTCCCCATAAATCAAAATTTTCAAAAAAAAAAAAAAAAAAAAAAAAAAAAAAAAAAACAAAAAACAAAAAAAAAAAAAAAAAAAAAAAAAAAAAAAAAAACAAAAAAAAAAAAAAAAACAAAAAAAAAAAAAAAAACAAACAAAAAAAAAAAAAAAAAAAAAAAAACAAAAAAAAAAAAAAAAAAAAAAAAAAAAAAAAAAAAAAAAAAAAAAAAAAAAAA